GGCTGCGTCCCCGCGTTAAATCCGGTATAACAGTATGACAGAGACTCTGACTTCCGGCTGAAAAATGCGAACATGTGGTCTGATGCTTTCGGAAATACAGGCCAGGCTGGGCCGATAGCAAGTAGTAGGTTGCCTATTCAACCTTCACTCACCCCGATACCCACACTTTGTATCGACCCCGTACGAAAGTGGCATTTCTGTTTTTGAGTCATTATCGAAAAGGTTTGTTCTTGGTAAAAAAAAGGGTTCTTAAATGACAGAAACATGTCAGACTGAATGACAGAGTCGAAAAGGGGAGTGTCTAGTGGGAGAAGGTATGAGAGTGTGAGATAGGATATGTAAAGGTGAACTGGTGGGGCTGGGTCTGTGTGTTGGGGATTTTAGATACAGATAGGGCTGGGTCCAGGGGTAGGGCCAGACCCACGTGTGGGGAACATTTGAGCTAGGGGTGGGGCCTAGTCGGGGGGTCAGGCCAGGCCCGCGTGTCAGGGATGTTTGAGCTATGGGTGGGGCCTGGTCCGGGTGTTGTAGTAATTGAGCTGCAGGTGCGGCGGGGTCCAGGGGGTGGGGCCAGGCCCATGTGATGGGAACATTTGAGCTACAGGTAGGGCCTGGTCTGGGTGCTCGGAACATTTGAGCTACAGATAGTGCCGTGTCCGGGGGTAAGGCCAGGTCCATGTGCGGGGAACATTTGCACAATGGGCGGGGCCAAGTCTGGGTGTAGAGAACATTTGAGCTACGGATGGGGCCAGCCTGGTCAGAGTACGGCAATTGACCTAGGCCTGTGTCGAGCTGAGTTGTTAGTAATGGAAGAAAACTCTCGAGTTCGCGAGTTATGCAATCGATATTTGGGTGGGAAGTCCCCCGGGCCAGGACCCAAAGGAGATTTAAAAGACTTGGGAAACGTGGGTATAGTGATTACATTCATAAGTTCTGTAGTACGAAGGGCACAACTGCAATGAAGGCATACCATTTTCAGGGGCAGTGGAGGCGTACCAAAGTTTTCCAGTGGTGTATATGTAGTATTTCCCTCTTTTTTTGGGTATGTTCTTTCATACTTTTCTTCTTTTTCTTGTTTTTTTTCTGAAATACCGGCGGACGTGGCATGTTTTGAAACCACAGCAGTCAGTACTTCCGTTGCCTTCTTGAACTGGCGCCGTTTTCATTGCCGACGCTTGCTTTTTTGCCCGTTCGATACTCAAAGGTGACATGAACATACATACCCCCCCTTTTTATTTTTGGTAGTACCTTTCAGGCTTGGAGGCTAAGTCGTAAAAGTAATCTATACTATTCTTTGGAGACCGGCGGAGGCTGGGCACTACCGGACTGCAAAGGCTGGCAGTGCCAGCCAAAGCTGGCCGCACTTCGGGCCCCCATTGGCCCGCATTTCGACTCCGCCTCGGCAAAAAGAGGCTCGGAGGTAGTGGTGGTTTAAAGGCCAGTGTTCACACCTTCATTTATCCTTTCTGCAAGGGACATCCATGTACTTGCAACTTGGTGGTCACATGGGAGCACAAAACACGGTGATGGGATTGCCGAATTTATGACTGACTTCACTGGTGGAAGCCCTCCTCTGTTGTTCTGATGTCATCCATTTGGGGCCATACTCAAATTGGTAGCTTTTACCCAAAAATACGATGGGCAATTTTGTAGTCACACACATTGCCTATATGCTCATACATTTTGCTTTTCTTCTAGTATGAAGTGTGTTTGGTCTTTCTTGTTTTTCAGTGTTTTGAACTGTTTTCTGTTGAGGGGGTTGAAGGTGGGTATAAATGCGGCTGAAAGGGGTTTAAAGGGGGTGCCTTTTTTTTTTTTTTTGTGCCTTAGTTCGGTTCTGGAAAGAATTCTGAGGTGACCCTGAGCCAAACGTTGTTTGCAGTGCAATTCTATACGACAAAGTTCTTTTTTAGATGAAAAAAAACTTAAAAAAGATTTTATTTTTTATTTTATTTTTTGTTTTTTTATGTTGGGGCTGCCTGGAAACTCGCCTAGGTGTCCTACCCGGCCGGCCGGTCGAGTGAGTGTACGGGCCCAAATTTCGCGCCAGGGCACACGGAGAAACAGCCTAGCCTGTTCCATCTTTTCTTTCAGAATCTACGGGAGAGGTAAGGAAAAAATGAAATAATTGGCCTCGCCGCTATCGTGTTTTGGTGACGGGTGGGTCATTGCACCACTCACCAATGTTGTTTGGTATCAGACTAAACAGACTCAAAAATGTCGAAGCTCCTTTTGGTCAGCACTGATTAAACCACCAGCACCTTTCCCAGTTTTTTTTCAGAGGTGTGCCGGGTAACGCGCTGGCCTGAAACGGAAGGACGGCCGCCGATAAATCGACTCGGCAGCCAGTCTTGATTCTCGGGCCGGCGAGCAGTGCCCGCGGCCGACATATGGGAAAGGTAGTGGTGGTTTAAACTTGTGGCCATCCCAGCCTGGAGCAGCTGAGGCCTGGTGAGTGCTCACAAGCAGTCACCGGATTTTATTTTATTTTATTATTTTTTTTAATTTTTTTTTTTTTTTAACAAACCCCAGGTTGATGCTAGACGGGCTGATAAGAGCAGACCCATCTAGAACTTCCCCAGAGGGCTCCATCTGTTGGTGGGGAGCTTCACCTGCTGGAAACCGGGTCCAGCATGGCGAGTGTTCTTTGTGGTAGGAGTTACTCATTAAAGGTGCTTTCCTTTAGTGGCTTAAATGTTTCAGTTCGCTAAGTGAACTTCGTTGCAGTTCCCCGATAGGAATCCATGGATCAAAGAGAGCTTCTCCCCATGGCGTTTCGCCTTTCATTGCATTCTTTCTTTCTCAATGCCAAGGTATCCTACTATTCGCCCAATGCATTATTTCGGATATAGCAGGACCCAACTTGGACCTGGACCGTGGTGTCGAAACACACTTGCTTCAGAAGTGGTGAGAGAGCCAAGGCCGCCCCACTGTACTCACCCATTGCGGACCGGTCTGGACACAATTTTGGTGAGGGAAAGAGTTTGGTGAGTGGTGCGGAGGTGGCCCAATGAAACCAACCACAGCCTGGAGGTGCAAAGTTTGAACTAGATCCTAAGGCATTGTTTTTGCGGGTTTTCTCACGGTTGTCTGATGGTGAGAGCTCACCACAGACATCTCGGTTTGGCGAGTGGTGCTGCAAGGCCCAGTGAAGCCAACCACACCTGCAGGCACAAAGTGTTCATTAGATGTCAAGTACACAAACAACTGCACAGCAGTCCAGATGGCTAAAAAGGCAAAAGGGAAGAAAGGACCTATAGGTACGATGTGGGAGTACCGAAGATACCAAAACATGCAAACCAGCATGAAACTGAAGATAGGCAAGGATCTGGAGCACTACCGTCTTCACCCGAATATAATGCCGGGTCATTAAAGCAGTATTTGGTGCACCTTTCATTCCAGAGAGAGCTATAATGACCGGGCGTTGTATTCGGGTGAAGACGGTAGTGTATCGCCCGAAGGACCAGACAGTATTTATATGGGCACTGTGAGCACCCATGTTGTGTAGCAGTCCGTCTCAAGTTTGTGTGGGAGAAAGCAGTAAGACTGAGGATGGCCAATCCACTGGAGCGCTAGTTTATCGCCTGAAGGAGCTGACAGTATTTGTATTGGCACTGCAACCACACATATTGTGCAGCAAGCTGTGTCAAATGTTCCTGGGAGAAAGCGACATTTGTGTAAGGGATGCGGGGAAGTGGGTGGGGCAAGGTGTTGGCCATGGTCGGGATTGTGCGAGTCCCCATACTTTGCTTACATTTATTCTCCTCTTCTGCTTAAAGCACCACTACCTTTTCCCATGTCGGCCTCGGGTGGGCCACCAATCTTTTAGGAGGCCGGAACGAAGCGACGGCTGCCGATGAGGTTATCAACAGCGGCCGTCGTCAGGCCCAGCCGCCAATTTTTTAAGAGTGGGCAATTTTACTATTTTCCCGTTTTCCCGACAGCTGGAAAGGTAGTGGTGGTCTTAGAAAGGTGCGCGTCTTTGTTAGGCGCCTTAGTGTCGAAAATATTTTTTTGTGACTTTTACTTTGTTGTTATTTTGTAATCTTATTGGCATGATGCCCTAAATAGTTTTAAAGTGACAAGTCATTTTGTGGTCACGTTTTTTTTTTTAAAAGACTGGGGCCCAGCTGCTATAGAAGGTCGTACGAGCAGCCTCCGCTAACAGCCTCGGCCTGGACGCTTCAATCTATTGATATGGTCACCTTTGGTCTTTCATTCGCCCTTTTTATGGGGTTACTGAAGTGGTATTTCAAACTCATGGAGTTTTTTTTTGTTGTTGTTGAGTTTTTTATTACCTCAAGGTGTCACTCTACAGGCCTGTGTATGCTGCTAGCACATTGCGACAGTGAAAAGTGGCGAACGAGTGGTCTCACTTTGATGTGGTAATGCATATGTGCCAGGGCAGTATTCAAATACTATAATAGTAATTAGACTACCTTGAATTCAATGGTTTGGAATTCGCCACTTTTCTTGCTCTCACGAAAGATGCTTGATTTGGCATGGGCAGGTAACAGTCCTTTTCTCTGAAATAAATCGACCTTTTCTCTTTTTAAGTTTTAGCAGTTTTTCTCCTCTTCTTCTTTCCCTAGTATGTTCCTCTTCCTGTTTCTATCCCCATCACCCGGTGGTTGTTCTCCACTCATTAGAGTGAAGGCATAGCACACACAGGTGTTAGTCTGTCAGATGCATTTTGACTTATCTCTTCTTGTTTTAGTCAGTACATGCACCATGTTCTGCCTCGACAGGAATTCGATCCTTTTGGTCCCACATCTGCTTTTTGCAGAATGGTTGAGCCTCACAGAGGACATACGAACAGCGAAAGTGCTGTGATCTGCAGCCAGTTTGATGACATGGCTGGTTTTGTTCCTCCTTTTGCTGCTTCTGTTAATGGTGATGGTGCTGCCAGGTGTCCTCCTCAGGACAAAGTGAAGTCATTTTTTTGATCGGTTTGCCGCGCACTTGATGGGCAAGTGATTCTTCTCGTGAAGTGAGTGAGAGTGTCTTTGGTCAGGCGCAGGAGGTCAGACGGCAACGAGAGTGCTAAATGGCGTGGTGTCTAACGCTGTTGGTTCCCTGCTCTCACTCGGACACAGAGCAAGAGGTACATAGCTCAATCTGCACACACCTCTCCTCCCTGTTTTTTCAATCTGTCTGTATCTCTGTCTGTGTCTTCTCTGTCTCTCTGTGTCTTCTCTGTCTCTGTGTCTCTGTGTCTCTCTGTCTCTCTGTCTCTCTGTCTCTCTGTCTCTCTGTCTCTCTGTCTCAGTGTTTACTGATGCCTCAAATATTTCGAGTTTGTTGCCGCACCAACAGAGACGTCTTGCCCTTCCCCATTCTTCTCCCACCTCATCTCTGTGCTGACTCTCATTTTGTCAGACTGGGCTTCCGTTGTTTTTCAATTTGCTGTCAAACAGCTATCTATCTTGATGACCGCCTTACGGTGTTGGCAATTGGGAATGTACTTCTTGCAAGCAATTGTTTGATTCTGTGATATATGGTGCGGTGCAGCAGTTGCAGAATGGGTTGTTGCACGTGTGAGTTGTTTGTGTGTGTGTGCGTACGTGTGCGTGTGTGTGTATGTGTGTGTGTGTGTGTGTGTGTGTGTGTGTGTGTGTGTGTGTGDGAGAGAGAGAGAGAGAGAGAGAGAGAGAGAGAGAGAGAGAGAGAGAGAGAGAGAGAGAGAGAGAGAGACACACAGACACACAGACAGACATATTGTTGCTTGCTGCTTCTCTCCTCTTCGCATTTGGAGTTGTTGATGGGGGCTTGCATCACTATGGAAGCTGCGAAAAGGGAACGACATTGTGTTGGATTAAATGCAATTTCCTTGTGACTTTCTTCCTTTTGGCAATTTGGGGATGGATGGTAATCATGGTCCGACTTTCACTATTGTTGCCTTGGGTGCAGGCACGAGGCGAGGTTGATCCTGATGGCCGGAACGGTGGTAAAAGCCGTCATCACCGAAGAAGCAGTCGTGAAAACCGGGCCGATGGTGGTCGGCCTGGAAGACACCAACGGAGGTCGCGTACAGGATGCGGATGCAGCAGTGGTTGTCGCCGAAGGTCCCATGGTGGTAGGGAGAGCAGAAATGGTCCTGAGAGGGCGAGGGAAGGGGCCGCTGAGTGCGGTCGAGGTGATAGTGTTGTCCAAGGGCCTGAGAGTGGCTCAGGCATTGAAGCGCGAGGAGGAGGAAGGTGGTGTGTGTGGCAGTGCAGTTGTACAACTTGCACCTGTGCTACGGCTGGAGATGATAGGAGGGAGGCAGGACGACATGATGGGGACTTGGACGAGCTGCGCAGGAGGGTGCAGGGTGATGCCAATGGCAGGGCTCAGAGGGCAGGCTCTTATGGTGAGGAGATTGAGGAGGAGTACGAGTACAATCAGAAGATGGACAAAAAATCGCGGGTGGCTAGGGAAACCCGGGAGCGTCAGTTCGCCATCCAATTAGATGAGTTGAAAAGTGTTAAGCTCAGAAGAGTAAGAAGGCCTTCCCTGGAGGATGTCCGTTCCGTGGAGGGCGACAAAAAGCAGCCGAACGAGGACGGGGTGGGGGAGGAGCGTGTGACTGCAGCTGCGGCTGTGTCCGAGGGGGAAGAAGAAGGACTAGGAGAGCAACTGGAGAAAGTTCTGAGAGTCGAACAGGAGGGCGACGGCACAGGTGCATCTTCGATGAGCAAGCGGACGAGAGATGGACGTCATTACATTAGCGGTACCTCTCTTATCCCGTTTAGCCAGTCGGACTCTTTGTCCGTATCCCCCCTGTATGGAGATGATGAGGACACAGTAGCAAGCAGTACGTCTGTCGAAGAGGTGAGTTGGAGGGTGAAATCTGAGGTTCGTCGGGGCAAGGGTGATTGGAGCTTCTCTGGCGCAATCAGCCCACCAATGTCCCGACCTGATGTGGCCGGGAAGGCCTCTCCTTTATCGAGAGCTGGCAGTGAATCTGGGCAGGGTGCAATGAAGTCAGAGGATGGGGAAGGCTCACTTAGAGGATACGAGATATCTCCTCAGGGACAAAGGGCTTGGGAGCGTGTGTCGGCATGGATGCAGAAGGAGGATGGGGAGGCCAGTGGTGAAGTGTGTCAGGACGACGAAGATGAAGCACCAGCAGCTGGATGCGTAGGAGAGAAATGGAGCCATCGAAGTCGTGGCAGCTCTGTAAGAGTTGAAGTGATCGAGGAGGGCGGAGAGGAGGAGAGTGAACCGCAGGAGAGAGGTTTGGTGCCTCAGCCTGAGAACTTGGGCTATGGGCTCTCCAGTAGTGGGATGGAGGCATGGAAAAGAGTTTCATCATGGATGAGCAGGGAGAAAAGGCCGTCGTTGACAGGTGATAAGTTGAATCACACACAGGTGGAGGGAGTAGAGAACCTAAAGACCTTCGACGTGGAGTCAGATCTTGGTGATCGACCAGTTGGTGAGGACAGGTCGGGGATAGGAGTGGGGATAGGGAAAGGCCATCACTACAGTGGTGCTTTCAACACGAGGGAAAGGGGTGACAAGGGGGATGATGGCTCCCAGGAGGTCCCCGGGACTGCTTCCATCCCAGGGATGTCAGGATTGAAAAAGGAAAAGCAGGGTCCTGTCGAGTTAGGGACTGGAAAGCCCTATCGTGATCACCATGATAATAGTGCGGCAAGGATGGGCTGCATGGAGGTTGCCGAAGGGGAACGCGATTCCTTGGAAGGTGAAGGGAATAGAAAGATTGCTCCGGGGAGGGAAGGGGTTAGGGGGGAAGGGAGCACTATTAGAAAAGAGCAGGGAGCAGAGCGAACAAAGGGGGATGAGAAGGAGTCTGGGGCAGTGATAGCTAAGAAAACTGTGGATCGACGACGCGTCAAACAGGGCCCTCGGCATTCTTCCTTGTTGCAGGAGAAGCAGCAGGAGGGGGTGGGGAGGGGTTGGGGCAGTCTTTTCTCTTCAAGTCTTTTCTTGAAGGCGGCAGAAAAGACGGGTGCTGACTGGGTTGGGAGGAGATCCAGTCCTGGGCAGAGTGGGGTGGGAAAGATCAGAAGCCCCTCTAGGGCAGGGTTTGGCGGGGGCAAAAAGGGGAAGCATAGCCCTGCTCATCCTTCTTCAAGGGAGAAGCACCGCCATTCGAAAGGGGGGATCATTGGCTCCCCACTGAGAAGGGAGGGTGGTAAGCGGACTAGTGCAGAGGGTGATCAGGCTGAGATTGGTGACAAGGATGAGGATCGTGAGGGTGGTGTTTATCGTAATGCAAGGAATGACGACAAGGGGTCGCGGCAATCATGGGCTAGCGCAAGAAGTCACACAGAATCGTGGGAGGGAAGGAGGCGTGAGATGTCGGACATAGATGCTCCCATTGCTGGGGGTTCTTCGAAGGGGTACCTGGATGCAGATAAAGGAGAGACGGAATGGTCGAGTGCAGAAGAGGTAGAGTCTGCTACGGTCTTTGAGGCCGAGTTGCATAAGGCGGTCAGGGCCAGGGAATTGAGGAGACTCTCAAAGGTTGAAGGGGAAGGGGATAGTGAGAAGGAGGAAGACAAGAGAGCCCAGGGATCTCCAGTCCTGGGAACAGTCTCGGAGGGCCACAGAAAAGATGTTGGATCACAGACGCTGCAATCTCCTTTGGGCCAGATGAAGAATGACTATGATGTGGAATCAGGGAACGAGTACGGGGAGCAGCAGGGGGAGCGAAAGGAAGAGCATGCAGTGCGAATTCAATCTGCCTGGAGAGGCTACGCGGTAAGCCACACAGCATAACCATTCGTACTGATGGATACCCCTTTCCCTTCCATTCGTCATCCCACAAAACTCAATGACATGTCCTTTACACAATGTGGCTGCGAGTGCCCCCCCCTTAACATGCAGGCGACCATAACACTATGGCATTACCCGACAATCTCCACACCTAATGAACCCAATCAATCCGATTTGAAGTTTTGGCTGTCGCTTTGGCGGCATTTTATCGTTGCAAAGTAGCGCAGTCTTATCCCCCTACATCCTTTGCATACTCACACTAAGTTGTTTCGGAAAGAATGTAGCCATAATTACTGTCAGAGGAAAAGTTGTAATGAATGTCTGTCATTTCTTACTGGAGGCTCAGTTCTACAGGCGAGGAGCATCAGCTGCTGGCAACCAGGGCAGGTCGCCCTTTGTCATTTAACGTGTCATCTCCCCAGCTGGTGACCGGCGGTCAGTGCCCCTTGATCACATCGCATGTTGTGCTGCCAACAGGGGTCACCAGTTAATCTTCTAAGACTAGCCTGCTTGAAATCCCACTAAGGTAGTTTCCAGTCATTTTTCCTGCTTAAACCGCTCAGAATATTTCAACAAGAGTGGTTGGCGGTTACACCCAGGTGATACATAGCCAAACCGTCAGGAAAGAGAATGAAAACCCCCCAACACTACACTTCAACACAGCACAAGGATAGGAGGATGGGGAAAGTGGATCGGTGGGGGAAAGATCGGCAACGGGAATGGAGGGCACAAGTTCTAAGATGGCATCGGAACAGGCGGAATGGAGGTGATGGAGAAGGAAGAAAGGAAAAAATAGGTGTGTGTGTGTGTGTGTGTGTGTGTGTGTGTGTGTGTGTGTGTGTGTGTGTGTGTGTGTGTGAGAGAGAGAGAGAGAGAGAGAGAGAGAGAGAGAGAGAGAGAGAGAGAGAGAGAGAGAGAGAGAGATGTAGATTCCAGGTATCTCATTGATGTGTTTCATGCGTGCGGGTGTAGCCCCACTGGCTTTACTTGTTGACGATATGAAAGAACTGTTTATCCCCTCCCCCTTTACTCCGCCTCTTTTCCACAGCATACAAGTGGGGCCATTATTGCACACGGGGATGCAGGCAGCTTGCACTCAACTTCATCAACATGGCGAGCTTTGTAAGTGAGAGGCTCAGTAAAGGGAGGGAACAAAAAATTACCACAAGAACGGTTTGTGTCCTCTTCATGTCAAACTTTGTCTTCTGCGCCTTTGTCGTTTGTTTAGCAAAGTGTGCTCTCTTAGTTGTTAACAGATATGTGGCAACATATAGTCCCTCTAACTACTAAATACAACGTACGGTCATTATAGCTGTATTTAGACTGAAAGATACCCCAAATACACACATCTATAATGACCGTACATTACATTTGGGGGAAGAAGGTAGATGGATCCGTCTCCTGTGTGTTTTGCTCACTAGACTGTCCGGATGGAAAACTAGAAATGGCGGTCCAGAATGGAGGCTACCGTCTTCCCCTGAACAGAACGTCGGCAATTCTGGCTGTATCTAGCCTGTAAGTTTCACCAAAATTCAGCTATATAGTGACCATACATTCTATTCGGGGAAGGACGGTAGTGGGCAGCCTCGAGGTCTGTACAGACGAGCACAATAAATAGTAAATACTAAATAACAAGAAAAATGGTTCCTTCACAATCCTACCATGGCATGAAAGCCAGGGAATTGAGCCATGTATCGGGTCAGAAATGGTGGCAGGTGCTGCTGCATTTTCCTTTTTTCTTGAAATGCAGTAAAAGCGAACGTTTGTCAACTGTATAATAATGCTATAATTAGAATTCTTCTTGAAGACTTGAACACTGTACATCTTCTGCCGTTGGATTCGTAGTCTTTCGGACTAATCGGCCGATCGATAGGGTGGTGGCCATCGTGGGCAACCTGACTTAGCTTCCCACTGGGCCACTGCACCAGGTAAGCGCGGGCCCAGACGTCGTACCAATCCGGACATCACATGCAAGATAGCTCCAAGCGTATGACTTCTGCGCCAACTAACTTACAATAAATTAAAAAAAATTGGCTTTTCAACTGGGATTTGAACCATGGTAAGCGCGGACCCAGACGTTGCACCAATCTGGACAGAAATCTAGACCTCTGCCAGGATAAATTGTGACATTTCGAAAATGCGATGGTGATTGGACACACACACACACACACACACACACACACACACACACACACATTGGGCAAACCACTTACTCTTCTCACTACCGTTTGCAACAACATTGGCACGCCCGACATTCATCCCAAACCACACACTCACGTCAGCGTCATCTCTATCATTCTATGGCCAGACAGCCGCCTTTTCATTTTGCTGTCTGGCCTCTAGAGTGCATAGACCCTCATCTCTATCTGAATGCTGATGGCTCCATCAATCTGGATTTGTTCAAACGTGCGGCTACACCTTGTGAAGGGTTTTGGGTCCGTCGCCTGGCCACCCTGCACCCTCGAGGCTTCAACAGTGTCCTTCCACAAGGTCGTTTACCGCCTGTCAGACGACTTCGTCGTCCGAACAGGTGGATTCGTTCGCGAGGCGGTCCAAACCCTCCCTCCTCCAGCCACCCCTCAACACAAACACACGGTGACAGCACTTCCATTATTGACACTAACCCTGGTCCATTTCATGCTGTGCGYTCGGCCTTGCATCGCATGCTGGCACACGCAGCCAATTCAGAATGGCAATCCATATCTCATACCCTTTCCCAA